TTGGGGTCGATCTCCACCAGCCGCAGCCCGAACGTCTGCGGGAGGAGAGGGGTTAAACCCGGGGGGGGCTCCACCCCAAAAGCCCCCCCGGCCCCTCCCCACCTCCTGCAGGATCCTGCCCGCCTGGCCGGCGATCTCCGTGTAGGCGTCCCGGTACTCCCGGATCACGTTCTTCAGCATATCTGCGGCAAACGCCGGGGAACGGCTGAGGGAGGGGTCCCAAAGCCGCGGGAGGGGGCCCTGCCCTCAACTCACCTGCTCTCTTGATGGGGATCTTCTTCTGGTCCTTCACGAGCAGGAACTGAACCAGCTCGTTGGCCTGCGGGGGAAGAAGCGGAGATGAGACAAGGGCGGTAACAGAGGAGCGAAGGCACAGGACAAGGAGGAGAGGGGTCACCCCGACCCACCTTCTGGTTCACCTGGTCCGGGGAGTACCGCGCCTGCTGGGTGGGGATGAAATCCTCGTCCCCGTCGGTCACCTGAGGGGAAAGAGCGGAGAGAGGGGGGCGCTGCTGCTGGGGAAGGGAAGGGGGGAAATGGAGGAGGAGAAAATGGGGCGAAGCGGAGCAGTGAAGGGGAGAGGGAATGACGGGGAAGAAGAGGAGGAGAAAGAAACGGAGGAGAATGAAGGAGGAAGGGGAAACAGACCCTCACCTGAGAGGAGCCGACCCCTTTACTGCGCTTCCGCTGGGACATTTCTCACAGCAGCTCCGAGGGAAAAACAAGCGCCGGGCGGGCCGAAAATAGAACGAGACCGCCCCAAAGGGCGCCCCTCGCCTCTTCCCTCAGCGGGGCCGCAGAAATCCGCCCCTGCACTCCCTCAAGGCCCACTAAACGCTCCGGCCCCGAGCACGACCCGTCACCGGCCGCGCTCTGCCCGTGACTGCGCCCGCCGGCCGCGCCCACCCCGCCGGGCCCCGCCCACCCCGCCGCTCATTGGCCGCAGCGCCGCACTCGTCCCACCCGCCGCGACGCGATTCGCCCCAGCACAGTCCCCGTCCCGCCCACCGCGACGCGATTGGCCGAGCGCCCGCGCTGACTCCGCCCCTCTCCCGACTGCCGCGAGGGGAGTCACGTGCTCCCCACGCCCCGCCCCCTCCCGTCCCCTCAGGGCGCGGAAAAGGCGCGAAAAGCGCCTCGCGCGCCCCCCCCCCCTCAGGGCGACCAAACGGCGCCCAGCGCTAAAAACGATGCAAAACACCCCCAAGCGACCCAAACAGGCCCATTTTACCCTCCCCTCGCCTTAACAGTGAGTACTTGGATAATAACGGTGGTATTTGAAGCACCCGCGTTGCCCTGGAACCCGCCGTCGGGCTCCTTCCCACAGGTGAAGAAGCGACAAAATGGCGGCAGCGCCTGAGGGGGGTTTGCTGTCCGTGGCCACCCCCCGGCCTGGCCCTGGTGGTGAGGGGACCTTCACCCCCCAGCTGTGCAGCTGAGGGTGCTGTGAGGGGTGAGCGGGACAGTTTGAAGGGTGTGCGAGGGGGTTTGGGGAGCTGTGGGACCTCGGGCGTTGTGCGGGAGGTCCAGGGTGGCTTTTAGGGTGCTCTGCAGGGTTGAGGGGGCTCATTCAGCGTCATAAGGGGGGGTCACAGAGTGCTACAGGGGATGGAGAAGGCTGTGGAGGTGCAGAGTGTCTTAAATAATGGGGCTGCACCCCCCGATGTTGAGCACCCCTTGGTCCCAATTTTGGGGTTCACTGAAGCCCCTCCTGCGACCTGAGCACTAAATTTGCCGAGTCGGCTGGAAAAACGGGGTCCCCTCAAATTCGGGGAGGGGGAACCGTCCCCATCCCCCCCAGCTGGGAGATGAGGTGAGTCCCCAACACCCCCGGGGGGGTCCCTCTCCTCCTCCCACTCCCCCCCAAAGCCTCCACAGTCCAACCTCCTGCTTGAACAACCCCCAAAAATCACACCTTCCGGACACCCCCCCTCCCCAGCAGTCCTTTTATTTCAAAAAGGGTGCTTTTTTTTAACCACTTCTCACTTAAATAAAAATAAAAAGCTCTAAGTCTCTGGTTCAGGTGCCTCAGAACTGCATGGCCGCCTCCAGCGTCTCCGAGAGCTTCGTGGCGATCTTCTCTGCAGGGTTGAGGGGGGCTCAGCAACTTTGGGGGACATCGGGGGGGTTGAGGGGTGAGGAAAACACGGGGTGTCTGCACCCACCTGCTCTTTTTTGCAGCTTTTTCCTCCTCTTCCCGGCCGCCCTCAGCCCCTGGCCCTGGAGCAGGGGGGGCAGAGCAGCCACCTCCTCCAAGCTGGGGGCGCGGGGCACCGAGTCCCCCCCGGAGCCCCCCGACTTCACCCGGGGCTTCAGCTCCACTGTCACCGCGCCGAGCTGGGGGGGAGCGTCAAAATTAACCCATCACCCCCCCAAAAAACCCCCACCTCCGAGAACTCCTTCCCACCTCCGGGTCCTTCCCGCTGTCCTCCTCCATGGCTGCTCCTTCCTCCTCCTCCTCCTCCTCCTCGGGGGCACACGGGGACAGCCCCAGCCCTGTCACCGTCACTGGCACAGCTGGGGGGGGGCAGGTGAGGTTTTGGGGGGTCTCTGAGGGGTTCACAGGGGCGGGGGGGTCGTTGCTCACCTGCCAGGGCCTCGGCGTCCCCCCGTTCCAGAGCCTCCAGGTCCAGCTCCGGCCCCAGCGCCGGCAGGATTTGGGCCTCCAGCTGCACCCCCCGGGCCTCGGGGGGGTGGGTGTAGTAGGAGATCTTCCCACTGCGCCAGAGGGGGGGCGGGGACCCCAAAAACAGAGGTCACGGGGTG